TTTTTTTTTGTTTTTTTTTTTTTTTTTTTTTTTTTTTTTTTTTTTTTTTTTTTTTTTTTTTTTTTTTTTTGTTTTTGTTTTGTTTGTTTGTTTTGGTTTGTTTTGTTTTGTCTGTCTTTCTCTGCCTTAAAGATGACAGGCCAGAAGTTATACTTTTATTGGTGCCATAGACTTTTTTTTTGGATCAATATATTGGTAATGACTCTTGGGAAATAAATCAGGAGCAAGTCCTTGATCATAGTTATAGGAACTCGATAATCAAGGACTTGTTCCTTCTGACATAACATGGCTAGACAGGTACTTTGGATTCAGATCTTGAGTCCACTGTTCTGGTCAGAAAATACTTTCTTGTAATGCCATAAGATTTTGCCTTTACTGAAAGGAAAAAAAAAAATAGATGGAAGAAAGCAGGTGAGGAAGATAGAAAAGGAAGGCTGTGGGATTTTCTTCCTAAAGAATTTGTAAACCCTGGTGTGAGTCTTATCCAGCATGAGGTATGTAAAATATAGAGATGTTCCTCCTCTGTCAGAGTTCCTTTTTTGCTCTCATAAATAGTCTATATCGGATTTTGAAATCTATCCTGAAGGCAGCTGACACTTGGAACAATTCAGTGACAGGAACCTCTGTAGAGCTCATTTTTACACAGAAATACTCACTGATTGTCAAAAAACCCGTGGAACAAAATGAGTTCATCATCATCCCTCTCTTCTCATGTTTTTAGATGCTGTATATGTGAGAGGGTGGGGTGTGCCCCTGTTTCCAGGGGGTTATTATGATTTATGCCATGGGGGCAATGCTGACGGCCTGGCATTCCCAGGCACTGCCCTCTGGACAGGCATGGCAGGGAGGGAGTTTCTCCAGGGAGCGCTCTGTGTTCGCTTCAGCCCTCCCTGGGAGGAGGTGGCCCGGCTGCTGAAGCCTCCCAGAGGGGTGCAGGTTTGTGTTGTGGCTGTTCTTAAAGCATATTCTTCACTTGGCACCAGCGTGGGGAGTTAACCCTGAGTGGGTCAGCCTGGAGAGCTGCTGGGAGGGACTGCTGGGGGCACGGGGATGAGCCTGGGGGGCACTGTGTGCATTCATCCTAAAACCCTGCTGAGGGGAGCAGTGCTGGAGAGCACATTCTCTGGTGTCCTTCCAGCGTGGGACTCGGATCTGACTTTGATTTGAGCAGGTAAATGACTCGAGAGCCCATTAGCAGTCGTTTGACCTCCTGCGCTCCCCATTTCCCTTCCCGGCTCTGACACTCCCTGTAATTTATGGAGCTATTACACTTGGGTTGGAACTCAATTCCCAGGTTTGTTCCACTTACAGAAATTAGTACTGAAAGACATAGCAGTGATGGAGGGCTTGGAATAACCACCGAGTTATTTGTCTATTTAATATACATTTTTTTAAAATGGCATCTTGATGTCTGTGAGAACACCGTGGGGCTGACTGCACTTCCAAAGTTCAGCACTTGTTTTCAGGCTTTTCAAGTTTCAGGGCTGAGGGATACTACTAAAGAACTGTGAAATGGAGAGTTACCCTGTCCCCCCTTCCTATTTCCCTCGCAAAATAAAAAGCAGGGCAGAAAAACAATGCTACTCGGACTTATTTATCTTTATTTAGTTTCTCTGTCAGTGAGGGGATGAAGCGAAAAATTCAGAACAAAGTAACTTAAAAAATCAAAGGATTAAAGGCCCATGTATGTGATCCTGATGAATTGGATGATTCAGA